TTGTATGGTTATATGTGCATTTCAATGTGTTTGATATCTGCATTTGCATGAATTTTGAGAGCAATTTAATTACTTGGTGTAATTGTTTGCATCCATTGTGGGTTAAGATGTATTAACAGTATGTGTGTTAAGTGTCTATTGATGATGTGGAGTATAGATGTCTAAGGCTACATTGGTGGTTTGTACCAGGGATGTGAAGCATAACATTTGGATCACGAGGGGAGATGTGTTAAATGTTGGAATCCTTTATTTAAGAAAAGACATTGATCAGGTGGAGTGCAGTGGAGTGAGATATGCACTTCTATCACTCCTGTTAGGTGGAGACTCATTATCCAATTAGGTTGGAAGAATTAGTGTGGTGATAGAAGATTATCCCAAGAACTTAAGATCTATAGAGGTCTACCGTTAGACATGAGTTGAGCGATCAGTCTAGTGAGCATGGTGGGTGATGATGTATGATATGTGTTCTCGAAGTGTGGGCAACACAGAATGTGATAGGATAAATGTAGTGAGATCTTTTCGTGGGATCATTTATGCATTTGTTGCTTGATTGATTTAACTGTTATTTTGTGTGAACATTTCATTTTTTTGAATAGATCTGTGTTATCCTACATGATATCTCTATCGCATGTTTATTTAGTCTTGATTGATTACTGTGATGATCTGTTTTTACTTGAGTATTTGTTTGTGATCTTAACACTAGTGAGCACATAGAGCGCGTATGGTATGTGTTTCAGGTCCAAAATACGAGGTAAGGTTTGTGATCCCGAAAAATATCGTTTTGACGACCATTGGAGTAAGCTTCTACGACGACACAAACACTAGCATCCTACCAATCTCTAAAACGCAATGTCCGCTTAGGCTCAAAGTGCATGCTTTAGCTCGCAAACACAACCAGAAATTATGAACATTGTAGCTCCTTTTTCTTTGTTAGTACCGACCGGTGCTATCCGATTTTCTCTATCAAACATGCTATACATCAATAAATGGGAAACATGGACTCAGTTATGCCAGCTATTAAAGCTTAGCACTAGGAACTGCGTCAGATTCATATGCCCAAAAATAGTTAATTTACATATAAGTAATTCTAATGGCATGTAGTAAGAAACACTTCAAACTATTAACACATTTGTTAGGCATCAATCAATCTCAGATTAAGTTCTAAGATTTCAACATCACGCACACATGCACAAACAAGCACACAAAGATAGATAGGATTGTTAAGGCATCAATCAATCTCACATTAAGTTCTAAGATTTCGAATCATGCACAAACAAGCACACAAAGATAGATAGGAGTAGGGGCTGTCCGTTGTTCGGTTCAGTTCGGTTCTGAAGAGACACGAACCGACCCAAAACTTTCGAACATTTAATAAATGAACCCGTCAGGTCCAAATATAATTATGGAACCGTTCGGATTCGGGTCGATTCGGTTCCGTTCGGTTCCATACCATAATTAATTTTTTTAATATTGACAGCAATACTACATAAATACAACTAATGACATTTCATTCGTAATTTTTACAAATTAACGTAGCCCAATTCAAAAATATATAAATAATTAATTGTCCAATAAGATTAATTCAATGCATACAAATACCAAAAAGTAGATATTAATATTACAGCAACACTACATAAAGTATATTCATTTGTTTCAAATTAAAATGGGTTAATGGGTTTTAAAAATGATTTGGACTTTAAAATTAAAATTATGAAATAATCTGATTTATTTAATTAATTTGCTAATTTGTATAAAAAAAATAAAATAATTTAATTAATTCAATATAAAAAATAAAAAAATATTTTCATTTGTTTCAAATTAAAATGAGTTAATGGGTTTTAAAAATGATTTGAGCTTTAAAATTAAAATTATGAAATAATCTGATTTATTTAATTAATTTGCTAATTTGTTTTTAAAAAAATAAAATAATTTAATCAATTCAATATAAAAAATAAAAAAATTATTTAGTTTCGATTCTTATTCAGTTCTTCGATTATTGGTCTAGACCCGAGACCCGACCCAAACCCATCGGTTCTAGATTCGAGTACCCGTTCGGGTATTTAATTTATGAAGAACCGTTCGGTTCGATTTGGGTTTGATTTGGTCTGATTCGGGACTTTTGAACACCCATATATAGGAGGACAACAGCAGCCTTGAGAAGGCCGAAACAGTGCATTCTGGTTCATGTCACAAAACAAAGATTGTGCGAATCCATGAAAGTTGTGTACAAAATGCATTATGGTTCATGTCCATATTCCAGGCAAATTTAAATTGCAACTCGCAATTACCAGAACAACAGAAAGAAAGTGAAAAAGTATAATTGTAGAATCTTCGGAACACAAACATCAAAGAAACAAAAAATGAACTCATATGCTTCGTGAGACAATTCAATAAAATAGAAATGGAAAGTCAAGAGTCTGTCAAGCACTGGGGAAAAAAATGAATTCATATTGATAAAGGTTGTATTAGAAATAGACAATTAAGGTTCGGACTTACAAAATAGAAAAAAATACTCATGTATGTGACACTGGTGCTTCTATTATGAGAAGCCAAAAAACTGATAGTTAAATGTCGAACCACCAAATCTAAAAACTCAAGTTGTAGATAAAGTAACATGTATATTATTTAAATATTATTTTCAACACGTCTCACATGTAGGAGGGGTTTATCTTTTTCCTATCAAAGCCAGACACGTGAAGAACTGTATTAAATGGATTGCAAGGAATCTTGAACCCAAAACTTTGCTCACACCAAAAGATAAAGAGAACTGTAGAATAAATTTCTGTTTTCTGTATATTTTTTCACTGAAAGGATTTACATGTTATATACAATTCCGGAGAGAAATTAAAAAAGTAACCAACCAAATCACCTACAAATTATTCTAAGAAATCTATACATGACATATTTACATAATACAAATAAAAGAATGAATAATAATTCATATTAGCATAACTAGTTTCAAAATAAATAACAGATTGAATAGAGTTACTAAAATGCGATAATTGATACATTAAATCATATCAATTCTTAATATTAAAAGGATCATTGACCTTAAACATTAACCTTACCGCATAAGAGAAAATTACAACAAAAACTAATAATATACAAATATATGCTCTAAAAAAAAACACTAAAATATGAATGCATTCAAGCCAATAAATACAAACTATTGCTGATCTATACCATGCAACAGATTTTAAGCTCTTTTTAGTATCATTCTCCTGACAATTGTTTTCTCTAGTATTATTTGTTTTCCTTCAAGATGTCAAGATAATAATGCATAGATTTTCCAATCTAGTGAATTCACTCAAAAAAATTGCTAATTCAGGGTGTGTTTGAGCCAAATTATTTTGAAAAAATGTATTCTGGAATAGTAGATTGATGGAGAATGTGTGGTTGAAAAAGAAGGAAAAGTTATTGATGTTATGAAAAATATTATTTTATTGAAGAATGTGTGGTTGAAAATGTCATCTTCTTACTTTTACTTCTTTTATTACACCGGGTTTGTTCCCGAGTTATAATGTGTACTGGTTTAATAAGTTCCGTTATATTTGTTAATTTCTCGGTTAAAAAAATTATCCAACGGAACTGATATTTCTGAATTAGAAGTGCTTAATTTTATTGGTTTAAGTCAGGCATGGTTTCAGTTTCTTTAATATTTAAAAAAGCATTATTACTAATTTTTTTTTTTGGAAAGAGATTGAATCTACACAAAAAATTAAATAGAACTTAAAGAAATTTATTATTAACCCTCTGGTATAGCACTTACAGGTTGTACTTGAGAGTTTGTCATGAGGGTTTGGGGGCCACTCAGAAAGAAGCTCTCAGAGCTGCTCTCTGTGGCATGAGGTGACATACTAGAATCCTCCTTTGAACTACCAGTCAAAGGAAGTCCAAAAAGATGATCCCCCCATATATCATAAGTATAATTTTCCTGAATTCCCATCTTTTGCTCAATTTTATCCAGTTTTTCATCACGAAGTTTGGAACCAGGAGCTCGAGCATGTGAAGCAATTGTAGATGTCGAAGCCAAAACGGGAGATTGACATGTCAAATGTGGGGGAGCCCTTCCAGAAATAGGAAAGGTTGCAGAAGTCATCACAACAGCTCTGCCAGCCACTTTTCTTGCTAAACTTGGCTTCTCTTGAGCAGAAAAGAACCAATTACTGTTGCTAAGATTCAAAGAAAGATCAGCCCCCAATGCATTTACCTTAGAGAGAGGTTCTGTAGATGTGTTTTTATCACATTGCTGATCAGCTACCTGAGTGAATGTATGTTTGGCTTCCACAGATGTGACAGGTGAAAAGGGTGAGGTCGGTGTAGAATTTCCACTCTGACTGCTTGAAACTTCAAAAAGTCCATTTAGTGCTGTACTGGAACTCTTATTCTTCCGTCGCCTCCTTCCCTTCCCCTTTCCAATTTTAACCGTCAGGATTCCAGCTTGTGATGCATCTTGAATATCAGGGCGTTCAACTGATACAGGTTTTGACAGTGAAGAGAGTGATGATATGGCTTCTTCCTGAGTATTCAATAGAGTGTTGGTTTGCTTTCGATATCCCATAGATGGATTTACATGTTTCCGGGCACCAGCTCCGCCATCAGATTCTAGCAAGTCTTTCCCATTCGAACTTATAAGGCCACTCATTTTTTGGGATTTGGGATACTTGCTATGGTTTTTGGGATTGTGATGCCCATTAGAACATTTTTCTGCAAAGCTCACAGTGGAAATGGAGCTTTTCCCACTCTTAAACAAGTATTCTTGAAAGCCAAAGGCCATTACATGGGGAAACAAGAAACAGAGCAGCAGTAACAATATGAAAATGAAAAAAAGAATCGCAACCATTGATCTCTTAACTCGAATCCAGAATGTAGATCTTTTGCAGAAGTTGAGTACAGACATGGGAATACTCGCTTTCATAGGAATCACAAAAATCCCTGACGCCAGAACCAGTTGAAGGTCCCTCTTTATTGTAGCTGTAGAGAAATCAGTCTGATATGATATCTGAAGCTTTATAGACTCCCCAGGCAGAAGAGAGAAACCCTTACAAGAATTTACTAGAAACCCATCCATACCACATTCAGCCCCAGAAACTTCAATTCGCTTTACCTCTAAAGGAAGGTCTCCCGTGTTCTTTGCGTACAGCTCTTTTATCAAAGGCTCAGAGCAGGCAAGACTTTTGTCTTCCATGTAATGTGACACGTCTGGAGACAAAAAACTATTTGGAGTTGGCAAGTTTAACTTAAATTCTAAACCTTGCACAGGAATAGCCTCATCAAACAAGACCAAGGAAACTAACCCCCCAAATCCACGCAAAGATAACCACTCCACACCAGAGAGATTATTCCTTATCAAAATTGAACTTTTCCATTCACATCGATTAGAGGGACGAAAGAGAATTGGGCCAAAGGACGCTTTACCATAAGGATGAACAAAAGCTTCTGTCACTGCACTATCTGCTATTGAGAAACCATACCTTGTATGAGCAATTGATTTATTACCCACCAAACTACCGGATGAAGGCAGTTGCATAAGAGTGTCAGATGTCCTGCAATCATCAATAATTTCTCCAGAATTAAGAACAAGCTGCATCACAATTGATTCTTGGCTTGGGTTTTTGACAGTTATCCACTGAGACCAATGACTTCCAACTTGAACTATAGGGAAAAGTACTTCATTTTCATCAAGAACAGACATGAAATTTGTGGCCGCATGAGACTTCCAGTTTCCGAGTACCAGCTCCTCTGCTTCTCTTGCATCCACTGCCTTCAGATACGGATTCACATTAATAAATGACTACATGCGAGAAAGTTGAAATACATGATTTTAGCATATAAGTGAAAAATATTTAAAGATGGAAGCAAGATACTGTAAGTCAATACAGAGCCAAATTATGTATAGATGGCATATCACACAATTACAGGATGAACAATTGTTTGATTAATTCGTAACAGGACAGAGTCATCTGCACTATACCAAGAACTTTTTCAACCCATAGAACTATAGAAGCAGAAAATAGAAGGTCGAGTACCGGAAATATGACCTATATTTTGCTCCAAGTGAGAATACATTCCAAGAGGCTATTATATTTTCTATTATATGTACATAAAGTTACATGTTTTAGCCATGTACTGCAGGTACTGGAAACTTCCACGAAGAGATACAGAAACCTTCCTACTCATCCAACAAAGAAAGGAAAGAACAAGGAAGACTTCCACAACTCATCCAATTACAAAAAGTAACGAACAGATTACGTTCTGGCCTGGCATTTCTCCAGATATGAGTAATCCCCTCAAATATCATTCTATCAAAATTTTCCCCCGACTCAATTTCATTGCAACTATTAAATTATCTCCTATTTTCATTTCCTTACAGCACAATCCAAGTACCAACCAACTAATCAATTAAATCAAATGCAAAATTCCCGTATCACGTGCTAGTTTTAGGACTCAGAAATGAGCTGTGTGTAAAGTCAAAGATGCAAAGTATAATCCAAATTCACTCATAATAACAATCAGTTTAAGATACCCTTCTCTTTTCCTTTCATCTCTTGCACAGCTACGAGTAATCATAATGTCAAACAAACAGCTTTAAAAATCTATTAGAGCCCGTTTGGCATGACTTTTGATTTTACTTCCTACAGAAGATCATCCTAGGGAAGTTACCTTAATTTTTATTTGAAAACTAATTTCTAAAAGAATTTCTAATTCCAAAAATACTTTTAAAGGAAGCCACATTGAACCAACTGCTGGGAATTTACTTAACATAGCGGAAAATAAATTATTTTTCAATTTCCACTATAGATCTGCTTTGTGTTCAGATATAAATTGTGTTTAAAATAATTGTACCTTTTATAAATTCTATAAACTCCTTTACTGATTTTGGAATAAGAACAATCACGTTCTGCAATTCACAGCTGTCTAATTGTCCAACTTTCAATGAAACCCACATAGGGAACAAGAATGAGAAAATTAGGATTTCTCTTTTCTTGTACTAGCAAGAATAAGAATTATTTTCTGTTCTATTTTTCTGTAATCCTAATAGCTTATTAATATAAGTTCAAATGGGATTGACTCGTCTCTTAAACTTAACACGGTTCAATATTTAATTAATTAAATTTGGTCCCTAAATTAATTAATTCGGACATATTAACAAACAACACAATTAATTAATTTACAACATTAATTAATTAATTAATTAATTAAAATCACATTCTTCTCGTTCTCCTTTTATATGTGACCCATCATGTTCCCGATCACAACGTCTAACGACGTGAATTATTATTTTGATCTAATCAAAATCGATAAATTAAAATACCCCTTTTAATAATAGTGTTTAAGTGTAAGTAGCACCCAGATTGACATCTAGCAATGTGTGAGACAATACATGCAACGAGAAATGTCACGTAATATGACAACCAAATTTGTTCGTTTACCGTAAAACTATAATCCTTTCGTCAATATGATTTGATCAATTACAAGATATGGATGTGTGTCAATCTCAATTATCGATCATATCTTTCATCCCATTAAGTCAATGTAAGTCGAAAACTCCTTTTCGACTTATGAGTACACCTTGGTCAAGGATTTCGTTATTAACTTAATTGAATGAAATGTAGATCATAATCTTACTATCTAAGAGTGATGAATCCGCTATTGATCATTTACAACCTTCATATGATTCTTTACATACCCGAATGATGCCATATTAGCGACCATTGACAGATCAACATCCAACAACACCAAAGTATGACCGTCCTTATATAAGGCACTATGATAACCTCAAGTCAAAGGACCAATTCCACTACCGAATATTAGAGATTAACCACTGACACTCGGATAGTTATCCATGTGGAATCCCCCAAGTAGGTCTCCAATGTTTTGTTTTATAACAAAACATCAACGTGTTCAGTTAAGTATCACCACACCTTAACTTGTGAGATCAACTACTTACTTCACAAGTAAGAAATGTCACACGTGATGGTCCATCCGTAATAACGATATCTATATCTCGTTATTATTTACGACCACGGACAATTTAAAATTCAGTCATATGTAATTTGTATCTCACAATCACAACTCCTTGTAATTAACAAATTATCAAAACTTGAATCTACAAATTCTATCATTTAATTTATTAGAACATTAATTCAATTAAATAATAGATCTTGCCATAAATATGCATCAATTATATATTAAAAGTGTTTATGTCCAAAATTGATTGAACCTAAGGCATAACACTTACACCAACTTCCTCTAAAAGTTGTTCTAGAAGAAGTACTTTCATAAATTTAACCAAAATTGTCTAAAAGCTGCTTTTGAGTGTCAAAAGCTCCTTTCGGCTTCTCAAAAGCCACGCCAAACGGGACCCTTACTTTCGTTTTGCTGCCCATATGAAGTAGAACATGATGTCTGGTGATCAAATTGCAACAAGATAAACCAAAATTATATTGATTTTGCTTGTTGAGTAACAAATCCTATCAATGCAATGCATTCCAGCCAGAAAATTTATTTCAGACACAAAAAAATTGAGAAAAATCTGTATACCTTCATCTCTGACGGTGGCTGCTTGCTGCTGCTTAAAGATATATGCGCATTGGTATGTTCTACATCTCTGGACTGCAGTCTATATCCAATACAAGAATCTAACTCATGTTGTCGACCAATACTGATTACATCTTCACAGGGAATTTCAATCTGAGAACTTGTGTCATTTATTAGTATGACCAATTTGCAGTTCATGTTTACTTCGGGAGTTTCTAAGGGATTGTAAACAATAACAGCAACTTGTGTAGCAGTATTAGGAAAAAGTACAAGACCTTCCATGTATTTAATATGAAAATTGGCAGTATTTTCCCCGACTTCGGTGACTTTGGTAACACTCAGTACATAAGGAGCATCATTTCTCACTGAAAGCGCAACAAGACATGGCATTGGGGCTTCCATATACACTGAAACAGGATGAATAGGTTCACCATAACCTGAATTTACATTCAGTTGTGCTTCAAGAGGAACCATTATTGTATCGATCTTATTTTTTGAAGATCTCAGCAACTGCATACAGATTGCACCAAAAACTTTTCCTTCATATTGGAACGACAGATCTAACTCCATAATAGTCTCTGTTTTTTGAGGGCCAATCTCCCAATTTTTATGTGGCCTTATCGCAATTTGTGGTAGACCAACTTCACCATTTTCAGCATCCAACCATTCTTTAGCACTCAGCGTATGGTACTCACTAGATTCTTCAATACTTTCAGTGCTACATATTGCTTTTGATGAGTGGGAAGTATCTCCAGAAGAAATTGATAGCCAAGCAGTTACTTCCTCCACATAGAGGGCTTCATCAAAAGGATTAAACAAAGACAAATTCTTTCTCCACCTTCCGCTGGAGGAAAGACCAAGACCAATTAAAGGCTTTACACCATAAGGGGACTCAACAGCGAACCCTATAGCTGGAATCAAGAAACCACCTAAGCTTGTCTGCAAAACTAATTGCGTTGAGGACGAACCTAACTTTGTCGGCAAAAACACGAAACAAACTGATGCAACTTCCCCAGGAGCCAGCAAAATTTCACTAACATTGCACGAATAAAACTGTGAGTTGCTACTGTAAGGCTCGTAGACATTCAAAATGTTGTCACTGCCAATGTTCTTCACTGTTAAAAAAGCTAAGGAAGGAAAATACAAGTCCTTCTGTCCCCAGTCCAGCAGAGAAGGTTTAATTTCCACATGTGGTGTTGAAAAGCTGTCCAAAAAGCCAGATTTGACTGTTTCAATATTCTTGGTCAATTTTAAATTTCGGGTTTCGTGGGCAAGTAATGGGTTTATACAAGAAGTGAAACCATTTTCTTGATCATTCCTTGAGTTATGACATGGCAATTCATTATAACTCTCTTCGTAGCACAAAGAACAAGAAATAGTCCTTCCGCCCAATAATCTGAACTTGCCACTGTCCGATGACCGACTTACGATATGTTTCGCTTGGTTCAGTCCAGCATATAATCTAACATCAGTGTGAACACTAGAAGTGTCTAATACTTCAAATTCAGCATCATTTTCTTCACATAATAACCCAGCCAATGTTGATGGGAAACAAAATGAATTCGAATGACGACATACATTGTCCAGACTATGTTGCTGCCCCAATTGTTTGGATTCAAACTTAGACTTACTATGATCATCGAATACATCTGGAAAATTTACATCAGAATTAACTTTGTAGGACCGGCGTGCTTCAAATTCCATCTGATTCTGTGCTCCATTAATAAGAGATACCTCAAATGTTATGAGGGTGAAAAGAGCACACAATAGAACCACCACAAAGTAAAATGCCTTGGACAAGTGAAGAACTCTCCTGAACAACATAAATTAAAAGCTGATATCAAAACAATAATTCAAAAAACTACTAACACTATTTATTTTTTTGAAAAATGCACATTGAGAACTGTGATTACAACATGCTAAGTAGTCACAACTCCACATTGATCATGTCAAAGAAAAGAGCACAAATAACAGGAACCATATAAAGAACATCAAATGACGGAAAACAGACACTATCAAAAAAATGTAGTGTCGTTTATTAGAACTATATAGGGGTAGATAACAACACTCAGCTATGCGTCTTTGCATTAAATACACAATAAACCCGTTATAGAAGAGAATTTATTTGAAGAGTTTGTAGTTATAGAAAAAGCCTATTATTTTCCACATATGTTGGAGTGTAAAACACTTCAAGTAGCATCGCCATAAATGATCAAAAGCTCCAAAAACATTTTTTTATCGAACAAAAGTCCATCGGACGCCACTTCTATTACATAACAGCTTTCGAGTTTCGAATACAAACATTAAACCTCAAAATTCTGCCATCATCGGAACAAACAAATTATACCATTAAACCAAAAAAACACTAAACCCATATCAATTTTTCTTTCTTTTCCAAAGAAACATTAAACTTAAAACACTTAAAACAAAAGTATAAAAAACCTAATCGGGGATTGAAGTCGAAAAACAAAAGGAAGCGTTAAAAAGTGGAAAAAGTTGGATGATCAGAGTTCGAGAAAAATGGAGTCACCGGAGGTCGGACATAGCGTAAAGCTGCAGTGAAGGAGCTTATTCTTTAATCATAACTATCGTTTCAGGGACCATAACAGAGTGCAAATAAACAAAATCAATACTTTTTCTTTTCTGGGATTTGATAATTTTGGGAGGTTTTGATTTTCAGCCCGAATTGTGTATGCTGCGAACACACACCTGACTAGAGCAGATGAGTGGCCTACGCGAGAGAGAGAGGGAGAGCAGAAAGAAAATGACGCGTGTAATTTACTCTATTACCCTTGTAATTATAAAGAAAGGCTTTTGATTTGTGATTTTAAGCCGGGGTTAAAGAGATATTTTAAAAGAAGGAAATAGGCAAGTTTGGAAGTCTCACTAGCCCCTGTTTGGGGGCACATTTTCATTTTCGTTCCATTCTTCTAGGATTTTCAGCCACATATTTTTTAATAAAATAATATTTTTCATCACATCAATAATTTTTATTTCTTTTTCAACCACGTATTTCACATCACATCAAAAAATGCATTCTTTCTAAAAAAATGTGTTTCAAACACATTCTAAAATCTGAACAACTTTTGGCTGTGACTATGATGGTCCCTTCTTAAATTTAGAAAATAATAATAATATCGGGCATCGATTGAAGAAGGTGAATAGTGAAGGGTAAAAAAAAATTGTATCGATTGATTATTAAGTTATTTTAACAGATTTTAAAATTTTAAAATAAGTTGTCGTATAATTTTTATCGAATTTTAAGTTCCTATTTGGTGAGAATTAAACGCATAACATTTAGTAGATTCTGATAAAATTGATGAGATGTATTGTTAAAAAATTGTGTATTTCATGAAATATATGGTTAAAATTAATTATTAATTTTGACTTAGATTAAAATTTTGAATTTGAAATTTTACCAAATAATCAATTTTCAATTTTTCCATCAAAATTACTGGTTTAGCTCGATTCTTATAATGAGTATTTAGACCCTGTTTGAGAGAGATTTTGATTTTTCTACAGTAAATCAATTCTTATTTTCAATCACACATTTTTCAATAAAATAATATTTTCCATCAAATCAATCATTTTTTCTTCTTTTTCAACCACACATTTCTCATCATATCACTATTCAAAATCAATTCTTTTCTCAAAAATCTCTCCCAAACAAGTTCTTAGATTCATAGGACTTGTCGAGGAATGGAAGAAAAAAAATAAAAAAATTGGTGCGTTGTGGTGCGAGCCTTTGTGCACTTGGTGGCTCGAGGTTCAATGATATAGGCCGTGTTTTTCGCGTCTTTTTGCGAGTACTTGGAGGGCATAATGGGTAGTTCAGAATTTAGTGACATTGGAATCTCAGTGAATCGGTCTAAAATTAAAACAGGATTTTGGCGACTTTGGCTTGTTACGTAACGCAAGTGGCATTTTTAAAGAGGTGGGAAAGTTAAGGAAAGGTCCTTCGTCTTTGAGAAAATAAGTATTTGAGTTCTATTCATGTTTTTTCTTGATTTTAAACCCAATTTTTGTTTTCAGAGCATTTTCAAAAGGCTCTTAAAATATAAGATATTCTTATTTTAAAAGTTGGAGAAAAATAATAAATATTTTTTGAAATTATTAAAATTAAGTGTGAAGTATAAATAATTTGTTGAAGTACTTAAAATAGATGATTTCTAAATTATAAATATCTTCTATATATTAAAAGTGGCTATATAACTGAATTTCTTTTTTTTAACGGAAAAACTAACGGAATTTGTTGTTTTAACGGACTATGTAACGGAATTTCTTGTTTTAAACAGGCAGATGCACCTTCTTTCAGTATTTTTATCATAACTTTGTATTCCGATATCCGATTGAGGCGATTCAAAATGCGTTGGAAAGCTAACTTATCTGGCTACAACTTTGATTCAAACATCATTCTCCAATTCGATCACTTTCTATGCCAAAAATAGGTCTCAATATGAGACTAAAACATCGGAGCATAACTTTTCGGTTGGAAATTGATTTGTGATCATCTTTTGACTAAATTTGATTCCATTGACGTCTTCCTTTATCCAATTGACTCCGAGCACTCTCAAATCTTCATCGTGAGGCTCGGCACAACTTTTAAATATTTACATTTTAGTCCCCGAACTTTGGATCCCTTACAATTTAGCTCTTTCTCCAAATTTGTCAACTTTTGCTTATTTTCTTCGATTTCACCAACTTACATGACAACATCAAAATCACACATCTAATTATTTAAAAATTACATAAATATTACATCATTAATTATTTAATTAACCAAAAAAATTACATCTTTATTAATAACAAATTAATTATTAAACAAAACTATTAAATATAAACTAGGCAAACGTGCATTGCACGTTACTTGCACCTAGTGTTCTTTAAAAATATAGAATATCATGGAGATAAATAGATTAAAAGGAAGAGAGAAGAAAGAAGAATAAAGACGGCATCATCAAATCACCAAACGAGACGAATATTCGATGGCAACGGGAATATTAAACTTTTGTTTGGGCTCCATTTTAATGAGTTTTTTTTGGGAAAAATATATTTTAGAATTGTAATTTTTTGGAGAATGTGTGGTTAAAAAATAAAGAAACGTTTTAGGTTTACGTATAATATCATTTTATAGAAAATGTGTGATTAAAAATGAGTTTTAAAAATGATGTATTTTTTGTTTAATGGAGCACATATTTGGGTACAAGTTTGGCTGAATTTTGGATTTGGTATGTTCCAAATATATAAAATTTGTATAAATAAAATTAAATTTCAGTATCATATGTATGAAACTTGTACAAATAAACGATTTCCCACTTAACGTTCACGTCGGTAGCAATTTAAAAATTAAGGTCCTTTATTTGAAATAGATTGCTATGTACGTAATTCCATCAATCACGTCAGCAAATTTGTCAATTTTTTAATCGTCTCTTGAATGAGTGATGGATGAGATAACGAATTACAATGTTTAGTGTAAATATATTTACGCTTCGTTGTCAGGGGATCTATTATCAAAGGTAAACCTGAAGAGGGGTTTCTGAAGTTTTTAAAAATAAAAAAGAAATCTCTATAATTATCATAAACCTCAAGAAATATTTATGTAATTTGCTCTTTTATATATTATTACTTCATACTCTCCCTACAAAAGTAAAGTATATTGGTCATAAAAAGAGTGACCTTTTCATAGAGTTTTGCAGAGGAAAAAAATTGGTTGGACTATTGTATCCTAAAAATGTATGAGTTGCAAAAATAAATTTTGCACGGGTAATTGAAGAGATTTACGTCTTGTTTGACACTCATTCTCATTTTTATTTTTTTTTCTCTTTCTTTATTTCAATCACATATTTTTCAAATAAAATAATAGAATCATGCTACAAGTACATTAACTTTGACATCAACTTTGACATTGTGCCACGTGTTGGATCATGATTGAACAGTTTTTAAATACCACACACTTTCCCTCCCATTTGCATTTGAATTCACATGGAGTGTTAAACTCCATGTGAACCATGGAATGTACAATAAGCCAAATTCAAAAGAAAAATGCTATTCATCCCCAATGGGGATGCATCCCCAGTCTATGTAGATGTAAATGATTGGTTAAATGATAAGTGGAATTAAATGACTTATTTAATTTCACCTATCATTTAATACCACATTAACGCCGCATAAACTGGGGATGCATCCCCAGTGGGGATGAATAGTATTTCTCGATTCAAAATGATATTACACATATATCTAAAACTTTTCATTACTTTTCAATCACACATTCTTTTATTAATGACTATTTCAAAATTCGTTTTTTTCCTAAAAATGAGTGTCAAACACAAGCTTAACATTGTAAATGATTTAGAATTTCTAATAAAAGTGAGTTATCCACAACTTAGAATTTTATCGGGGCATTAGAAGCAACTCTTTTCGAATTTAGTAATATATATTAATTAACTAGCATTCCAATAAGATAAATAAATTAAAAAAAGAAAAAGAAATAATCATCCAAATAATAATGGGATTAAAACTTGAAATGTCTCACTTCCAAAGTCTCAATTGAATATGATACTTATATTATTAAAAAAAATTGATACAAAAAGTATTAAGTAATTGACAAAAAATATCTTAATCAAATAATTGAAGGTGAGACCAGATTCATGTATAAAGATATGATTCCACCCTAGTTAAATTTAAATCAAATGTCACATGTGTCATTTTCTATGAGCAATTAGACTTAACTAATCACAGACTTTGAACTTCATAAATATATGTCATTGGTTCAGCACTCCATTTATGTAACATCTCTAAAAATATTGTTGCGCTTGTTTGGCAAAAATTATAATGAGAAAGAGTAGTTGTCTATTCTATAATAACTGACAATAGTTGTGAATGTTTAATTTTAACTTAAAAATTATAATGAATAATTATTTTTTTTCTAAACAAACACAAATTATACTAAGAAGTCGACTTTAACAAATAAGCAACTTAAAAGCAAACATTATTTTCTCTAAAGTATGTCTGAGATGCTAAGTGATTTAGTTCGAAACTACAAGCCAAGCAATAATAAGGTGACAAAAGATTGCTCTCTAAGAAACTCACACATTTTTCTTATTTCATGAACAACCAAAAACTACAAATGTTTTGGAGAGCTTTAAATATGAAAGAAAATAGTTAACCTACTGGGCCAACAGTCCCTAAATGGGTTGGGTTACAAAGCAAAACAAATAAACATTAAAATTAACGAATTACAAAACTTAAAATGCTGTTTTGACTAGGAAGACGACGTCAAACTCCCAAAATCCATCATACATCACGGCGAAGCGGTGTGTTCAATCCGAATCGTCACGAGCTTTCCGAAATGGGGTTATGGGCCCAAAACGGACACCGTATACGAAAGTAATGCCACTTTTTTGAGCACCGACAATCCAAGCGCTCCAAATATGCAATTGTCTGTTCCTCCACGTTAGCCTCATCACTAAGTTTAGAGGCAAATTTTAGAGTTTTCATTGTTCTTCATAAAAAAATTCACTATTCATCAAAATTCCACTGTTATAAAAAATTTCATGTTCCTTTCGTTATTCTTCACTTGTGTTGAGTTTATTTACCTGTTTATTCGTTCAAATATGTTTGTTACTCTTGAGGGGCTCTGAATTGAATTGCCAAAATTCAATTTCTAATCCTACGAAATTCTCTCGATTAGTATTGAAGAAAGAGTCAACGCTTCATTCAAAAAAGCAATTGAGTGTAAGAAAAAGTAATCTGATATTGAGGAACGTGTTCTGAAGGTAAATATACTTTAGGGCGTGTTTGATTGCAAGGGTGGAAAATGGGTGGAAAGAAAATGAATTCCAAGGAAAATATTTGTCTAGAAAATTTTTTCCCGAGAATTGTCAATTAGTTGCGTTTGATTGGTATAATTTTCCACCTAAAAAATGTTGAGATTTTCCATCTTTTTGTGTTTGATCGGCTGAATTTTCCATGGAAAATGATGGTATTTTCCATTTTTTGCTGTTTGATAGACTTTATTTTCCATGAAAAATTATGGATTTTTTTCCCAACAATTGGTATTTTATAGCCATTTATAATGTCCAACAGACCATGACCAACAAAATAATGTTGAAAAATGATTTAAAACCCGAGTAAAATTCTTCATATTAAACACAAAGGTGGATGTGCATTTTTTTCAATAGTGGATTTTCTTCAAATAAGAAAAAAAATGTTTAACCCAAAACCACCTTTTCCAACTATGACTTGATTTTTTTAATATTTGCATGTTCATGTAGATTACAAAAGAAACGACAACCCACATTTTTTCCCAAATTAATACACATGGGAGAGTAGGCATCCCAAAGTTAGATGATATATTCCCACCTGAGATGCTCAAATATATATTTGACAGACGCTGCTATAATAATTATTGTACTTCTTGAAAAGCATTCATGTATAGTTTCTTTACATTTTTCATCTAATACTTGAGACAAATGACGACAATTAGTTCACATAAAGATTAATAAGTCGCCCCATTTCAAAATTCCTCTACTAGAGTTCATCACAAAGACAGAAGAAAAGTGAAAATCGAGAATCACGCAACATCTCATTGCCCCATTGTGGTATTCAGATGACACATTTCTTTTCCTGTTGAGCTGTCAAGATTTCCCTATGACGTCCAGTATGGATCTTCTCACGCAAGTGTCCTTAACCAACCAAGTAGCCCCAGTAGAGCAGTATCCAGCATTGGATTTTTCTTCTCAAACCCTATTGAAAAGACGAAGGAAACAAAACCATTGAAACCGTACTTAGAAATAAGCTAAATATTGTGTACCTGATCATAAATAAGTAACTTATAAAAACCATCAAACATGTTTGGCAAAAACTTGAAAGGAACCAAACATTCTCTTTTCACCATCTTACATGAGACGCTCAAATATAACATCAAACTCATAATAAACCACACCCAAANTCAAACTTATAATAAACCACACCCAAAAGCCAATAAATCTCCTTCATAGATTGTTCCTTTCCAAAATCAGAATTAGAGTCTCTCTATGTTGTATGAAGGAAAAAAATACCAAGACGAAATGCTTCATTAAACACATAACACCGATTTTCACTGTTCAGGCATCATCTTCAATCTCCAAAATTTTGAGCAAACATTCAGAAATATGTTTTCCTCGCAGATGCATTCTGAGAAAGACAGTTCAAAAATCCAAATCAAAATGTGAACTTTTCTCTAACGTAGTTACCGTAGGCACAAGACTAATGTGTAAATTGCTTGTCTAATTGAAAGGAGATAATGTTCTTCATGCAAAATGGACACTTTCTCAAAAACAAGAAACAAATCTCCAAAAACCCATAAAAGAAATACTCATAATTTTCAATGTATGCCTTCAAACAGATCAGATTTAAAGTTCCAAAGTATCAAAATATGAGCTCAAAAGTTAAGTATTACCATATATTTATCCAACAAGAGATGGGTCTTCAATCGTTCTCATCAATGTGCAAAGCAGATAATAGCAAGAACAAGCAGCTTTCACAAATAGTCCTCGCTCTATAAACAAAAAACTGAACTTTTTTATTAAATTTGGATTGGAAATGAAATTGGCCAACGAAAGTGAGTTGAAATCTGTAGCGTTTTTGAATCTTGGAAAGACAGCAAGGCAACAACTGTTTGTCTAACAACACTAGTGTGTTGTCAGGTGCGCGTCACACGAAAAAGAAAGATATTAATAAACGCAGACCTTAATGGAGGTGCAACCAAACTAATTGCATTATCCCCACCGCCAGGAATTGTTAGTTCAGACTGAGGAGCTATTACAGAAAGAGGCTACAGAGGATGCACAATTTAGAACTCAATTTGGAACACAGTGGACAAGGCCCCATCTAGCACCTTAACAAAGAACTTGCTAGACAGGTTAAATAGGTTTGCAGCAAATTTGAAGCAAGCTGCAGAGAGTGATGCTCGGATTGAGAGATCTGTGAGAGAACATTCAGCACTCATGTCTATTCTTCATCGTCGTCCGGTGAGTTTTTCGAGATAGTTATATGAATTTTATTTACCTTGTTCTATATTCAAAATTTGAAGCTACATAATACACCACCTTCATCATCATACACATCTACTGAATTGCCTCCTAACCTATCTGGGTTCAATCCCATCCATGTAACAAATTTTCTTCCACGCTCTCTAACACTTTGAGGACTCCCAATCCACACACCATATTCCCAATTATTAATGCTTGGACAATCAGAACCTAACTCCAATGCTGGTGCAATGTGGTCCGACTGTCCGAGGCATCGAAAAATTGAGATTCCTCTTCTTCGTCTCTAAAGCTACACATGATTCCTTGAATTCAACCCATGAACAAACTGGTTCAAATCCGCAGAGATATCTAGCAGTGAGAGTGAAGTGTGTTTATCCAAGAGCTAACCCAGAAATAAGTTGAGCAAAAGTTCAACTACAAAAAATATATGCAAGAGAGACAGCAGAGATTGACATTTCGCCATTAAACAACACATAACTAAGCAAATACACATTTATTTGAAGAAAGTTCAGACGGAGTTCAAGTACAGGGAGATGGACGAAAATCCAAAAATAACAACTAGATCCACACACCATGATGAAATTGCTGATTAGAAACCAAAAAAAATAACCCTAAAAACTACGAAACCTACCTGTTTATACGGCGGACGAAGCGACGTAAGGTTTCAGATCAGAGACGACTGCAGACAATGGCCGTCGCCTGGGTTAAACTGGAAAACGGCAGCAATCGGTGCTGCCTGAGAGGACGAATCAGACTTGATCTGCCGGTGTCGAGAGAAGGTTTGGGGAAATTGCTGTGGGTTTAATTTTGGGGGAGTTCGATTTTCACGGTTTTGGTGGAAAATATTTTACCAAGTTTGAGACGGGAATTCTAATTCAACGAAAAGGGGGAAAATAGGTCACGTGAGCAAGAAATGGGAAATGATTTTCCAGGTCAAATATCACCCATCAAACAAGCTTAAAAGAGGGAAAATGGAATTTATTTTCCACTTTACTTGGAAAAGATGCCCAATCAAACAGGGCCTTATAGTTTATACTTATAAATCCTTTTTTTTTTTAATATTTAATTTTCGTGCCTTAGTTGATAACCTCGTTTGTTCAACAAAAACGGTTTTTTACTCCAAAATCTGAAAAATACAATCAGCTAATAATAAGACACGTTGTGTTGTTGTTAAAATGAAGAATTGGAAGAAAAACTGTTGTTACAGGTGTTAAGTGGGGCAAGTCGAGCGGTTCGACTCACGCTCACTTATGGTACGAGTCGGCTTGCTCTATCAAAACGTGGTTCAGTTCGCCGGCCCTACAAGCTCATCCCTTGGTGGATGGCTCACCAATTTTTATGTAAGTCATGACATGTCATTGAAAAGGATAATTCGAACGGAGGGACTCTAGGGAGCAATAAAGAACAATTTCAAAAAATTTTTGAAGGTCAAGAATACAGTCAATTTGTTCAAGCAAATAATCAACCTAAAACTACTATCCGGATTCGTGAATCTAGGGTAGAATTGGTTCAAAGACGCCATCTATGTGAATCTTTGAACTTCGTGCAAATATATTTCATATATTGCATCTTGCATGAAGAGTTCAATGTATTTAAACGATAGGAAAAACGTAAAGCTCCGAATTCAAGATAAATACGACTTCATAATTTGCAAGGATTTTTTATGTTAATTCTCTTCAATTTTTTATTTTTAGAAAAAACTTTTATAAACGTAATATTTTATTTGTGTACAATGTTTGAGGCCTGCTAAAAGTAGTAGAGTATTTATCATGTCAATTTACTTATGACCATTTTTAAAATGAGGAGAGTTTCGATTTATTTTATTAATATGTTAAAAAAATCGAGATGACTCTTGAGCTCGTGGATGGATCGACTCGGTCCACAAACCAAAGAGCAGAACCGAGCACCATTTGTGAACACGAATCGTGCTGACTGGTCCATGGAGTCGAGCCTAGCCAGCTATTGACCAAATTTCCACCACCAATTTCGGCCAACATACTAGAATTATGGGGGATATTTTCTTTTTTAGTTGGAATATAAATAAGGGAAATGATATCATGAACTTCGACACTTCTTTGACCTTGTGCATCAAATGAACACACCCAAATATTTTTTCCTTTTCCATTGTTGACTTCTTTCCGTATAAGAGACGATTTTTATGGTCAAATTTCCCAAAATCTATCTTGTTGCCAAAGTTTTGACCCGCCACTTTTTGTTGAGTTTCTTGATTGTCCTTAGCTTTTCCATGATTTTCAAAATTGCCCTTTCCACCTAGGGGCTTCAAGGTGGCTGCTCCACCATGGGCCACAGCCGGACAAGCATGGTTTTCTTCTTTCATCTTGGAAGGTTTTTTTGAGAATGTCCTATGTTTTAGCAATAATCCAACCATTTTCCACTTTAATACTTGCCAAAATGCAAACACCCAAATTGACTTTGGAAAAATGCTTGTTGTATATAACCATATACATAGCCCTTGTTTGAGCTCTATTCTAAGAGAATTTTCGATTTACGTGTAATATTATTCCATTGGAGAATTTATGGTTGAAAATAAGTTTTGAAAAAATAAATTTTTTTATAAAATGGGACTCAAACAAGGGCATAATGTTTTATATAATAATGAGGTGTCAAAATGTAAATGAGTGTTGTGAAAAGAAAGAAAAAGAGAAGAGAAAATAAAAGTAAAAATTGTATGTAATATAATGAGAACCAAAACTCTATATTTATAGGTGATGATTAAGTATATAATGATAAAAATTTATAAGGCTAGCTACATGGATAAAATTGTCATTCGGTAATAAACTTATCATTTACAACACTCCCCCTTAATGACACTTTATAAAATATCTGTCTCACTAAAACCTTATTTGATAAAAATCTAATGGGACAAAAAATCAAACGAAAGAAAAATAGTACTATTATTTTGGAGTATTAAATATTGGCTCATTAAAACCTTGTTAGGAAAACATTGACGTCACAATTCTTCTGAAACTCGTGTGTGAAAGAATTTTGAAGACATATACTTCGTCATGTCACATTTGATATAACCTCATTTGAGTTGTACAATATAAGCAGCATTGTCTTTTTACAAAATTATTGGATTATCTTTTGTTGAAATTAATTCGCATGATACTTGGATATGATGTGTCATGTTCCTCAATTATACACATTCTCGACTTACTTTATGGATTGCCATAATTTCAGAATGATTTAAAAATATTGTAATCAATGATTGTTTCACAGACTTTCATAATATAGTTGTTCCACCATGTATAAACACATATCGTATTTATGATTTAGCTTTATCTGGTTAGAGAGATAACATGCATATGCATATCCCACTAAAACAGATTTTGACTTTTGAGAATAAAATAATTCGAAATCAATAGTAACCTTTAGGTAACGAAAAATATGTTTAACACAATTTCAATGTCTTTATGTTCGTGTAGAGATTCTTATAAGGAGATTTACAGAAAAAGTTATGTCGGGATCGAGTACAGTTTGCAAGATATGTTAATACTCTAATTGCACTAAGATATAGTACTTTAGGACCAAGAACATTTTCTCCATATTCAAGTGGACGAAAATGATATTTTTTCACATTAAGTGATCGAACAACCATATGTGATACAAATGGATGTGCATTATTCATATAAACATGTTTTAAGTCTTTTCTATATAAGTTGATTGATGAACAAATAATTCTTTCGAGAAATTGTCAATTTGCAACCCAAGACGAAATTTGAATTTTCCCAAATATTTCATCTCAAATTCATTTTTCAAATAATTTACAGTTTTGTGAAGCTCTTCGCAAGTTCTAATTAAATTTAAATCATTAACATAAACTGCCGCAATTGCAAATCCAATATTTGTTTTCTTTATGAAAACACATGGATAGATATTGTCATTTCTAAATCATTTCTTCACAAATATTCGCTAAGACGATTATACCACATGCATCCAGATTGTTTTAATCCATATAATGATTTTTACAATTTAATTGAGAACATGGTTCCCAAGCATGTATCATTTGTTCATCACACTTTAAGTCCTTTAGGGACTTTCATATACATGTTACTATCAAGTGAACAACACAAATATGCAGACACTACATCCATAAACCGTATATTGAGCATTAGTGACACAGTCAAACTAATTAATAACCTAAAAGTGATGATGTGCATTATGAGAGAATATTTTTCCTCATAATCAATTGTTGGTCTTTGTGGGAAACCTTGAAATACGAATCAAGTTTTGTATTTTGTAATTTCATTATTTTCATTTTTCTTTCGTACAAAAATCCATTTGTATCAAATAGTGATTACATTGATTGTTGGGAGGATCAAAGTGATACAGAGTTGTTTTATTCCAAGAAATTTTACCTTATTTATCAGGATATAGTTTATCCCCTCTCAAAGTTGGGAAAATCATTTCATCAAAATGAAAATTTGTAAAACGTGCAGTAAATAAATCACTCGTTAAAGGTTGAAGATGCCTACTAATAGATGGTGAATCAAAATTCACATAAATTCCAAATTTTCGTTGGGAACCCTTTTAGTATGTTGTGTGGGTGAAATAGTGACTTGAACAACACAATCAAAAACCAACAAGTTAGAAATATTAGGTTCAAATACTTTTCGTTTCTCTAAAGGATTCAATTCCACCTACAGACTTCTATCCACTTTGACCAATCTTTTCTACGTTGACAGCATTTAACAGATCGTGGTTCATGATCCTCATTTCACATATCAAGAGCCATTAAAGGTGAAAATATTATCTATACCAATATTGTTTCGTTCCCATAATTTATGAGACAACATATAGAGGGTGTTTGACACCCATTTTTGGAGAATAGAATTTTTGGAATAGTGATTGATGAGAGAATATGTGGTGAAAAAGTTATGAAAATTTTCAGACTCGTGTGTAATATTATTTTATTGGGAGAATATGTGGTTGAAATGAAGAAAGACAAAAAAAAGAGAATAGAAATAAGATGAGAATGAGTGCCAAACAGGGGCATAATTTAATGAAATCTCAATATTTTCGGACACATATGATTTTTTAGGAACTATATTTTAAATATTTGATTGATTAATATTTTCTAATGTTACTTCTTCTAAATTTTTTAGTTAGTTTTTCTCTTGTACTTTTTTTTTTCTAGGTACATAGTTTTTTGAACCAATTGATCGACCACGCTTCTGACATATTTGAGATTTATTTTTTACAGCAAATATCATATAAGGACATCAATTTTTATTGAAATATTTTCTGTTGGTATCTATGATTTTATCACTTTTCTTGTATCAATAAATATAGATGGTAATTAATTTGCAACTCTTTTCAAATGAATGATTGTTTCAATATCTTCCTCACATTGATTGTTGGGAGGATCAAAGTGAGTTTTATTCCAAGAAATTTTATCTTATTTATCAAGATATAATTTATCCCCTCTCAAAATTAGGAAAATCATTTCATCAAAATGAAAATTTGCAAAACGTGCAGTAAATAAATCACTCGTTAAAAGTTGAAGATGCCTACTAATAGATAGTGAATCAAAATTCACATAAATTCCAAATCTTCGTTGTGAACCCTTTCAGTATGTTGTGTGGGTGAAACAGTGACTTGAACAATACAATCAAAAACTAACAGGTGAGAATTATTAGGTTCATGACCAAATGCCAATTATAAACGTGAATATTGATAATATGCAGTTGGTCTGATACGAACCAATGACGTAATATGCAATATGGCATGACTCAAACAAAAGGTGAGAGTTTTGTTTTCATAAATAATGGTCTAGCATAAGTTACAGACATTTAATAAATGATTACGCTAAACAATTTTATGTATGGACATGTGTAACTGAATGTTTAATACCAATCCCAATTGACATACAATAACTATTGAATGCTCATGATCTAAATTTACCAGGATTGTCAAAATGAATAGTCTTGATTGAATAATCGGAGAATTACGCTAGTAATTTTATAATTTGAGCAATTAGTCTAGCAAAAGCTACATTCCTAGTGGAAAAGTAGGCAAACATACGACCATCTAGTAGAAGAATCAATTAATACCATAAAATAACGAAATACTCCACATGGTGTGTATTAGCCCGCATATATCTCCATAAATTCTTTCCAAGAAAGTTGGAGATTCAATATAGACCTTTGTAGCTGAAGGTCTAATGACTAACTTGACCTGCGAACAAACTGCACGTGAATAATTATTAGATAAAAGAATCTTCTGATTCTTTAAAGAATATCTTTTAAAGAAAGTTTTTCTTTTATTTGCGTCGGCCAGATACAAAAGAAGTTGTGTAAAAATATTTAATATTATTTTCTTGCATCGTCTCAATGTAATATTCATTGCGGCGGATATCTTTAAAATTAAGTAAATTTCTTCTGAATTTGTTGAAATAAAGTGCATCATCAGTATATAATTTTGTATTATTTGTTAAAATAATACAAGTTCTTCCGAAATCTTCAACGATATTCAATGCACCTAATTTCATATTAATATTATTTTTTGCTAATGTTAAGTCCAAAAAATATTTGTTGTCATGAAAAATAGTATGTGTAGCTATACTAATTCAATATTATGAAATTAAAAATGCATAATAAAGTTTAAAAATTTTTTTTTTTGGGCAAAAATTAAGAACATAATTCAAATTGAATTTCATAAACGAAAGAAAATACTAAAAAGTAAACTAATTTATATCTTTCATCACACCATCCCTAATCAAATTGTCAATATTTTTATTTGGATCAGCAAAGAAATTAGAGATATCCAAATGAATCACATCAATTGGACCATCATAATCAGCAAAATTTGTCGGTACTCTTCCCTTTCCTTTGATCAAGCTTTGGTAGAGATGCACAAATTGTTTTACTGTACGATAGGGTATATTTGCCAAATGCCCTTTCATTCTACATTTAAAACAACATTCTTTATTCCTCCTTTTTTTATGTGCTACCCTCGTTTGTTTTGTGCCTTTTGAAATTGTTGTCTTATTGCTAATAATTTTATTGATTATTTCGTCTATGATTTATTCCACGTGCACGTCTGCGTCCACATCAACGTTCTTGTTTTGATATTGTATTTGCTTTAAACAAAGCAATTCCATTCGCTTCAAGCACTGGTACGAACCCGTTGGACGTAACCCACATTTTTTTATGAGCAGTTCATTATTTTGTTCAACCACAAGCAAGCAAGATATGTGTTTTGAGTACTTTTTGAAACCACGCTCCTGATATTGCTGCCCCAGGAGCACATTAGTGGCCTCAAAAGTGAAAAATGTTTTCTCCAACGTATTTTAATCGGAGATTTTTTTTCTCCACACAAGGTCAATTTTGAACATATTCTGAACATCTCAAAATTGTATTCACTAATAATTTTGAAGTCTTACAAACGAAGGTGCATCCACTCGTAGCGGGCTTTAGGGAAAACTATGGTTCTTTCATAATCAAATCTTTCAGTTAATTTTTTCCAAAGAACCTGTAAATTTTTCTCAATAAAATATTCGATTTTAAATCCATCGTGAAGATGATGACGAAGGAAGATGAATGCTACTACACAATCCTGAGGGAATTTTTTATTTCCTTCCTTTATTGTATCTCTCAAATCATTTGAGACAAAATAGATATCAGCATCGAATACCCATGACAAATAGTTTTTGCCAAATATGTCAAATGCAGCAAACTCAAGTTTTGTGATATTTATTATTTGATTAACTATACAATAAAATAAAAGGAAATACAATTTGTTTCGAAAAATATGAGTAAACATCAAGTAATTAACAAATATCAACATGACATAAGTTACATGTTTTCCTTCAGAGATGAATACTAATTTAAAATAATATGTTTTTTTCGAAACATGTTATACTTCGGGAGTACGTTATATTTTACTATTATTTTTTCAAGAGTAATAAGTTAATATTCTTCTAAAATATTTAAAATTATAATTCACGCTTTTCATGAGCAAGTAATAATATTAATTATACTCTTGTGTTATTTCAAGAGCAAACGCAAACTATTTATAATAGATATATTTACGATTACTATTTTTCTGAAATATTAATTATAACGTTGTGCTACTTCAGAAATAACAACATGATAGATTACCAATTTAAATTTTATGAAAAAACATATAAAAGTATTTCATCAAGTTAAATAGACAAAAAAAATTCAATAATCATCATAAACGTATATATTACAATCATAAAAAAAAATTAGAGCAAATAGTACATGAATTAAAGTATGAATTAAAGTAGACTATTCACATAATGTTTGATAAAATATTTTTTTTCATAGGGGTAATGATAGAGAGACAACACAAAAGTTGGGTAGAAATTGGTAGAAAACAAATTCGTTACAATGCGACCAGGGAAATTATATTTGTACCGGGGGATTGACAACTCCCCTCACCGGCCCCTCACAATGGTGGGGGGCCCATCTGTTTAAAAAAAGGTGGGCCCCCCACCATTGTGAGGGGGGTTGTCAACCCCCCGTCCCCCTGGTAATTGTAGCATCCCTCGTGGGACCATATTCATTACATGACAAAATTAATACATATATAGAAATTTGGCAGAATTGATACAAGCTTATGTATGGTGGTGGCAGATAAAAAAATTATTTACGAATTGATTCTTTACATGGCAGAATGTGCGACATGACCGAATTCATTACACGACAGAATTATGGCAAGCAAATACACAAATCAACAATTATACATGCACAACTGTACATATAGATTATTGTAGAAGTATGTATATGAAAAGAAATTCATATGTTACCAAATTGATTTTGGTAAGCGTGATAAATGATTAAAAAAATTACTACATTTACTAAATTTTGAAAGAATTAAGCTATAGTGTTGATAATGTGTTGTAAAAAGAGAGAGAAAGAGAAGAAAGAATTAAAGTCAATAGACTTGCGTGTATTTTAACGAGAACTAAAGCCCTATATTTATAGGAAAAGATTAATAATGCAATAGTAATAATTTCTAAGGCTGTAGATAGGGGTGGGCATGAGTTAGGTTGGGTTGAATTGATTTTTACCACAACCCAAATCCAATATGATCGGTTTGATCGAAATTTAACACAACCCAACTCATGTAAATGTTGCAACTCGATCCAACACAACCCAACCTAACCCAATCAAGTATCGGTCGGGTTGGGATGGTCGATTTGGGTCAACTTTTCAACAAAAATTAAAGTAATCCAATTTTCTATTATATTATATTCGAATAGATAAAATTAAATAGTAAATAAATAAATAAAATTATCTATTATCATGTTCAATCCTCATTAGTTGAGCCTACAAAGAATAAAGTGTATTTTATTTTCGTTCTTTTTTTTTTTTTTAAATAGGCAGGTCGGATTGGGCGAGTTTATTCGATTTTCATGGGTTAGCTCATATCCCGACCCAACCCGCCTACACAGTCAAAAAACCTAACCCACTTAAAAACAACAAACAAATATCCAAACCGGCCTTGTTGGCTCGATTTGGGTGATTTTGACGGGTTCGGTCGGGTTTTGCCCACCTCTAGATACAATTATACAATTGTCATTCACTAATAAATTTACCATTTACAACAGTAAGGAAATTATTTGATTGATGAGTTTTGATCCAAGTAAGCCCTTGTTTGGCGTCGATTGTTTTAAAACTCTTTTTAACATAATAATTTTCAACTATATATTCACACAATAAAATATAATGCACGCAAACTCAAAAATTTTCCATACTTTTTAATAACACATTCTTCTAAAAATACTATTCAAAATTTCTTTTTTTTTTTTTTAAATAATGGACACCAAACAAAAGCTAAATTTTGCCGCACCATCTATCGGTAAATCATTATGTAAGTTGTTATGTACATATAGTATAACTATTGATTTTGTTAATTCAATGAACACATCACATCAACTTCAATACAAACCCAAGCTACACTTGGCTTATATGCCATCGATCGTGGATGCATCGACATAGAGGCCTTTCAATATCTTTCAAAATATAATTTGACGTAAATTTTTCAAATAGAAAATGTGAAGATGAAGTAGGTTTACTTAAATTGAAGCAATTGATGATTCAATATGAATCAATAAAGATGGAAGGTTTAAGCCACATTGTAATGGAATCCTCTTCAAGTTCAAACTGAATAACAATATGCTCAACATCAATATGACCAATTTTTTACTCACCATGGAAACCAAAAGAATTGAAAACAGTTCTAATTGTGATGATCTTCGGCCTCTCATGTGTGAATTTTCTAACCCAAGAGAACTTGAATTAAAATTGCCAGACAACCTTCATGTAAAATCGGTGGGTTCAATTTTTTTTGAGTCGTGCTACACTGCCAGGGTTTGGGTTCCAGATGTTTTACAGGCTTTAAAATATAAAGAAGAAAAAACCAAAGAAAAAGGAAAAGTCTGGGATTAACTCCTTCCTTCCCCAAATCTCTCCTCCCACCGAAGCCCTAAATCTCTCCATTTCCAACCACCGCCGTTCATCACCTCTCCATTTCCAACCACCGCCGTTCATCACCTCTCCATTTCCAACCACCGACGACCCACGGTGATGAGTGTAAATCCATCTCCATTTCTTTACCCATAACAGGAGATCTACGCAGCATCCGAAAACCAGTCGCCCAACTTCCATAAACACCGTACTCGTCGCCGTCTCCTCTCTCACACTCGCGTTGTCTGTGATTCGGTGTAAGCATGAGCTGCTTGTACGAAAATTGATGAGGCACGTTTTTTCGTTTGCTATGGTTCACCTTCTGAGTGTGTTGAATCATAACTAGACCCCTTCTTCATTTGTGGTGATTCCGTCGTAGTATGGCAGGAAGAAATTCTGGGATTTGTCATAATTGTAGAGGGAAAGGACACTACTTTGATCAATGTCAGAGTAAACACCGATGCCCAGATTGTAAGACTGGATTCCAGAAGTGTTTTGAGGTCGAGAAGGAGACTGCAAACAAAGGGAAACTCTTCAAGTGCTGCAACGAGAAATGCTGCTTCTGGCAGTGGGTTGAAGAAGGCGAGTCAAGTGGCACCGCTACTGCAATTCCTGGGGCGGTGGAGGCAGTGCCTGAAGTGGAACAATTGTTCCAGGCTGCACTCCAGTTAAAGGACGACGAAGAGATCCACATTTCGTTGAATATGAAAATGACAATCACGAAGAGGAAATCAACGGAGGAAGGGAACGACAAGGGGAAGGGTGGGCTTGAGTAGTTGCTCCTAGTATTTTGACAGTGTATTTTGACGGTTGTATGTATGGTTACTGCTTGCAATGAAATTAGTGGATGTGCTTAGCATCCACTTTGAAATAATGAATGAACATTGGTGAATCCAATCTTTTACAGTGAACCAACGAAATGACAACATTTGAATTGTAATTCCTGGACAAAAAATATGCTTAACAGGGAACAAACAAAAAAAGACAAAAAGAACATGCCTTCCTGTTAACCAACAAAATGGAAATGGATGTATTTTCCCTAAATTATAACAGACCATTACATCAACTCCTTCATCTTCTTCAAAATTGGGTGAAGGAATGCTGTCAATTGAATTCCTGCAGTCAGCTGAGCATACTCAAAAAATTGGATGGCTGGTTCATGATTCACAGTCCTCTATCAAATTCATCGTCGAACTGGGGGTAATAGTAGGCTGCCATTTGATCTATTTTCCAATAGGCATATTAATATATGCACATGACAAAAGAAAAAAAGCGAGAATTTTATTTGTAATCAGTTTACGTACCTTGCGAATCGAATACCAAAGTTGACGACGATGGAGTCAAATTCGAAGCCGGTAATTGCTGTGTCAATTCTTGACTTCCACTTCCACCCTATAACAAATGATTACTTAGTAAGACTTGAAACAAGTACACGAGTCGAACTTAAAATACTAACCTGTAAAAGTTGAGAATATGAAAATGTCGTCGGCCTTGAATATTGTTCTTCAAGAAATGCAGCCTGGATATGATCCTGATCGCTTGGCAAATTAGAATGCCGTGCTTTCGGTCTCTTTCCTGTGCTTGATTTCGATGTAGTCTACACGTGAAGCAAAAAATTCGTAAACCTTGTATTATCAGGAAACTATCGTATAGGTGAGTTAAACAAGGGAATATACCTTAGCTTTCTTTGATTTCGACTCAAGTGGGCTTTTCCTTCTAAGTTTCTTAGGGGCACCCTTTGTTTTGGAGGAAATTGGATCACGTATGATCCCGCTCACAGTACTTTCTGCTGGAAATGGAGTAACATGCTGCAGATTGACATTACTTACACTATTCGACCGTGCTAATATCAGTGCACTACGTTGTGCTTCGATCCAATCCATTATAAGACGACATTGTTCTTCGTTCTCGGCAGCAAGGTCTGCAACCGTAGCGAAAGACTGACATAGCTCATCGTATCTCACTTGCCCAGGAGTACTCACCAACCCGTCATAATTCACTGCAACCCTGGTATGTGCTCTAATAACATCTCTCCTCCATCGTCGCAATATATACCTCTCAGGTATTACTGTGACGTCATTGCGGATTAGGACTGTAATTGCATGCCTACAAATGATTCCCCGGAACTCGAATAAGTGGCAGCTGCAAGAAAATTCACATTTATCTTTCTGCAATGAAACAGAAAATGATTTTTTCTTCCTCCTCTGGCCCAGTACAACAATCTCCTGTACCTCGTATCTTGTCCCGAAACATGTCTCGGAGATAGATATGACGTCGCAGTACATCTTTCCCGTGAATTCAGTTTGAACCTCTCTAAATTTTGCAATGGTGTAGACAGACTGGAATTGTTTCTCAATTTCGAATGTTGTTGCACATGGTAACATTTGCATATACGACTTAAAATCCGCCTGGAACTCCTTCTCAACCTTACTCCTTAGTGCTCGTTCATACTGTTCCACAAATTGTTTCAAAGATGTCTTCGAATGTACATACCCATCGAAGAATGCGTTCATACTCTCACTCTTTTGAGTTGTTGACATCCCTGCCCAAGAACTAGTATTCAAAAAGCAAGGAACCCAACAACTTCTGTTCTCATATAGTCCTGATAACCATTCATTGTCATGCAACTCATACTCATCAATCATCACATTCCATCCAGATTCAAATTCTTCAGCATATTGTGAATCATAAACAAATCCGTGTATAGCAGAAAAAATCCCACCCTTATTGATATGGTAGCCGAACTTTTCTGGAAACTTCTTCAAAATGTGCCATAGACACCATCTATGTCTTGTATTTGGAAAAACAGTTCGAATTGCATTTTGCATAGCCTTGTCTTGATCGGTTATTATTCCAGCAAGAGCTTTACCATGCATGCACTGAAGCCACGTGCTAAACAACCACACAAAAGTATCTGTATTTTCGTTCGACACCAAACCACAACCAAGCAATATTGATTGCCCGTGATGATTGACCCCAACGAATGGGGCGAACGGCATGTCGTATTTGTTAGTGAGGTACGTAGTGTCAAACGTGACCACATCTCCGAACTCTTTATACGCTTGCCTGCATCTATTGTCTGCCCAGAATACATTTTTCAACCTTGATTCGTCGTCCAAATCCATACTAAAGAAAAATCCAGAACAATGTGCTTGCATATTTGAGAAGTAAGATTGTATTGCTGCTGCATCTCCTTCTCTAAGTCTTAATCGTCGTACTTGTTCGATATAGTTTCGACAATCTTTTTCAATGCAAGTCATCTTTTCGTACCCACCTGCTTCAACAACTGCGGAGTTGTAGCTTTTATGCAACGGAATTCCTGCCATGTCATTCACTTCAAGCTTCCGTTTCACATGCGCACTCAACTCTCGATTGCATCGATACAACCTCGACTTCGAAGGACTTGTTTTATGATTGTGTTCGAGGATGACTCTATTAATTCTCCATGAACCATGATTATCTGATGATGCTGAGATCCTGGCCTTGCAATTTGTCTGAATTGTCGGTTGCGGTTTTAAAGAACAACTTTTGCTACTTCTATTTTTACCTTCACGGCTACAAGTGAAGGTAACAAATCTCAATGCACCATCATCCCCCTTTTTTGAATTCCTTTTCCTTACTGGAAAACCTACGCTATATGCATATCTTTTGTAGCACTCCCACATGTCTTTTTCACTGCTAAAAATCATTCCCACCTCCGGCACAATTGGACCATCTTCCCTTAACATTTGATAGTCCAATTCATTCATATTCTCCGTCACATTCTCATTCCCGGATTCCACCAACCCGTCATCATTCCCATTTTCCATAATTTAGTCTGCGGTGACAAGTGAAAAGGTAATAATTAGCAAACAAATAAATGGCAACATAATACTAATCAAATAACGTGTGTAGTGCTCCAGAAAGGTAATAATCAGCAACTAAATAGCAACTAAAAAATAGATATATATGTGTATATGCATAATGTATTAATGCCATAAAATACTTCCAACTTTGGCAAACAAAGAAATGGCAACACTGATGAAGTGAAGATTGAGGATTTCATAACAACATTTACAATTAATTTCGATTTTCAGTTTTATAAATTCACAACAACATACTCACGTAGATAATGCCGTTGTCAAGTCGCCGGAGTCGAGGTATTTACGGTGATGAGTGTAAATAAACAACAAATCAGTTTACGTAGATAATGCCGTCGTCGAGGGTCGCCGGAGTGTATGGCAGCACCGGACTCTATGGCAGGTTTAGGAGAGTAAATGACATGTTCAATCGATTTTTCTACACACTGGAAATGACTTCAGTTCACTGGTTGTGGGTTTCTATTTTGGGTGGTTTCTATTTTGGGGGAAAATACAAGAACCCAGACATTTCCCTCCTTTTTCCACCTTTTTGCTGCACGTGTCATGTATATTTTATTACCTGTAACCAATCTGTGAACTAATAACCTGGCATACTAGCATTTTCCTTAATCATTACACTTCGGGTATTTTCAGTGGGATCATTATTTTCATGTAATTATTGGAAATGAACTCGAACTGTTATCCGTTCATAACATTGTTTAAAAAATAATTGCGAGCCTACAATGCAAATTTTCTTCCCTCAAGCTGAAATGAAAGAAATAAGGGTCTGTTTGATTGTAAGGGTGAAAAATGGGTGGAAAGAAAATGAACTCCAGAGAAAATAATTGTCTAGAAATTGTTTTGCAGGGAATTGTTAATTAACTTTATTTGATTGGTATAATTTTTCACCCGAAAATTTTTTAAATTGTGTTCGTTTAGCTTTGTTTTACATGGAAATTTTCATTAAAGTGATCTTTTTTTTTTCCACAATTGGTTATAAAATTTGTTTCCATTGCCAGAACTAAAAAAAATTGAAATTTTTTAAAATCAAAGTATAGTGTTTGTTTTACATGGAAATTGTCCATTAAAGTGAAATTTTTTTTTACAATTGGTTATGAAATTTGTTTCCATTGTTAAAAAAAAAAAAAAAAATAAGACACCTGGAATTCAGTTTTCCCGCCAAAAAATTGGCAACATAATACTAATCAAATAATGTGTGTAGTGCTCCAGAAAGGTAATAATCAGCAACTAAACAGCAACTAAAAAATAGATATATATGTGTATATGCATAATGTATTAATGCCATAAAATACTTCCAACTTTGGCAAAAAAAGAAATGGCAACACTGATGAAGTGAAGATTGAGGATTTCATAACAACATTTACAATTAATTTCGATTTTCAGTTTTATAAATTCACAACAACATACTCACGTAGATAATGCCGTTGTCAAGTCGCCGGAGTCTGGCAAGTGTCGAGGTATTTACGGTGATGAGTGTAAATAAACAACAAATCAGTTCACTAGATAATGCCGTCGTCGAGACTCGCCGGAGTGTATGGCAGCACCGGAGTCTATGGCAGGTTTAGGAGAGAAAATGACATGTTCAATCGATTTTTCTACACACTGGAAATGGCTTCAGTTCACTTGTTGTGGGTTTCTATTTTGGGTGGTTTCTATTTTGGGGGAAAATACAAGAACCAAGACATTTCCCTCCTTTTTCCACCCTTTTGCTGCACGTGTCATGTATATTTTATTACCTGTAACCAATCTGTGAACTAATAATCTGGCATACTAGCATTTTCCATTTTTTTTTTTTTTTTGACACGAACAATAGGAGAGTAATCCGGTGAAAGGATGGAACAAAATATGTTTTAGTTTTCTATGATTGTTGGAGGGTAAAATAAATTGTGGCTTTGGAAATGATTTGTGGTGGTGGG